CTTCATCAGGTCATAAACAGATAAACCTGGTAAGAGATGGTGAACATATAATCGAGTACTTGTGAAGTGAAGTACAGTGTGAGGTGACTTGTACCCCCAATGACTCTGCCTCACAGCTACTAGTGATGTATGTGTTTATCTTCTCTTATCTGGGTCATTTGTGACTTGATAAAACCCACTACGTGCATGTGTGAAACATCGTTAATAAAAAAATTCCATGTGTGTTCTTACATCTATGTCTCCTTGTATTGCCTGTGCATGTTACAAGAAATTCAGTATTAGTATTCTTGTGATAAATGATGTAGTTAGTGTTTTCTCTGTTTTTAATGCTGTCTTTATTGGCATGTAATTATCTGTGAAATTTTTGGCTTTCCAATATTGTGGTTTTGTCTTCATGGCTACTGATTCATTTTGCAATATTTATTTATCCTTTAGATTGATGATACACTTTGTTTTTTTTTATTTCTTGTTCAGAGTTATACATTCTTAAAAAAAAGTTAATTTGTAATTTTATCTTCATCATTATAATAATAACAGCTGCTGGTATTTTGAGCTACTGTATAATTGATGTACTATATATATATACAATATTTCGGGAGCAAGGGGCTAGTAACTTCTGTATACATTACTAAATTTAAAAAGAGAAACTTTTGTTTTTCTTTTTGAGCTACTCTGCCTCAGTGGGATATGGCCAGTTTGTTGAAAAAAAAAATTACAATATTTATGTTGGTACTGTATATATATTTATACTTATATCGCTGTAGTTAAAACTTAAGGTATATTAGATCACTGTTTGCTTTGTAAATGACAATGTTTGTACTTCTAGAACTGAATACATGTATTAGACATTGCAGATTTAGTCAAAATGAAGTTTCACATTTAAATAGTTGATACATTTGTAATAGCTTTTAAAGTGAACTCAGTCATGTACATACATATATATGCAAAACAACCACTCTGAAAGAATAGAGAAATTCCAAGCGCTTTCGTGACTACTCACATTATCAAGGATAATGTGAGTAGTCACGAAAGCGCTTGGAATTTCTCTATTCTTTCAGAGTGGTTGTTTTGCATATTCTGAAATCACCTGTTTACTGTGATCTTATTGCATACACATATATATACATGGTTGCTTGAATTGAACCTCAGCATATGCAAGGTTACAAAGATAAGGAATGGTCCAGAAGACCAGACATGGGGTATAGACTTGGGACAGATTCTGTAGACCTCGTACCAGAGGCTCACATAACCAAATAACCTCTGCAGCCAATGCTTGCCTGGCAAATCTGAGAGTGGCCCTTAAGAATCCCAACAGAGTGTCATTCTGGATACTTTATACAACATATGTCAGTCCCATCTTGGAATATGTGGCACCACACTTGAGGAAACATGTTAAGAAACTGGAGCAAGTGCAGAAATATGCAACAAGAGGAGAGTGTAAAGGAATTGAACCTAATGACAATGAAGTACAGAAGGACCAAGGAAGACATAACAGCATACAAAATACTCAAAACAATTGATAGGACAGACATGGACAGGCTGTTTGAGAGACAAGAAACAGGTACTCAGGGGCACAGCTGAAGTTAGACACAGATGAGTCACAGGGATGCCAGGAAGTATTTCTTTAGTCTCAGGGTAGCTGGGAAATGGAATGATCTCAACAAAGAAAAAGTGGAGGCAGACTCCATATATAGCTTTAAGAAGAGGCATGATAGGCCCCATCAGGCTAGGAGAGGCAATACACAAATAACCCGCACACAAAAGAGAGAAGCTTACGACGACGTTTCGGTCCAACTTGGACCATTGACAAAGTCACAAAGTCAGTGTGACTTTGTCAATGGTCCAAGTCGGACCGAAACATCGTCGTAAGCTTCTCTCTTTTACGTGCGGGTTATTTGTGTATCGTTCCAGTCACGGTATTGTGCCTTTTTTGTTATTTAGGAGAGGAAACTTGAGAGGCAAGGCCAGGAGCTACAGCATACATTTTTTTTTTTAACACTGGCTGTCTCTCACTGAAGTAGAGTGACCCGAAAAGGAAGACACATTTTCACCATCATTCACACTGTCACTGTCTTTTTTTTTTTTTTTTTTTTTCAATAAGTCGGCCGTCTCCCACCGAGGCAGTGTGACCCAAAAAAGAAAGAAAATCCCCAAAAAGAAAATACTTTCATCATCATTCAACACTTTCACCACACTCACACATTATCACTGCTTTTGCAGAGGTGCTCAGAATACAACAGTCTAGAAGCATACACATATAAAGATACACAACATATCCCTCCAAACTGCCAATATCCCAAACCCCTCCTTTAAAGTGCAGGCATTGTACTTCCCATTTCCAGGACTCAAGTCCGACTATATGAAAATAACCGGTTTCCCTGAATCCCTTCACTAAATATTACCCTGCTCACACTCCAACAGATCGTCAGGTCCCAAGTATCATTCGTCTCCATTCACTCCTATCTAACACGCTCATGCACGCTTGCTGGAAGTCCAAGCCCCTCGCCCACAAAACATTCTTTACCCCCTCTTTCCAACCCTTTCGAGGACGACCTCTACCCCTCCTTCCTTCCTCTATAGATTTATATGCTTTCCATGTCATTCTACTTTGATCCATTCTCTCTAAATGACCAAACCACCTCAACAACCCCTCTTCTGCCCTCTGACTAATGCTTTTATTAACTCCACACCTTCTCCTAATTTCCACACTCCGAATTTTCTGCATAATATTTACACCACACATTGCCCTTAGACAGGACATCTCCACTGCCTCCAACTGTCTCCTCGCTGCTGCATTTATCACCCAAGCTTCACATCCATATAAGAGTGTTGGTACTACTATACTTTCATACATTCCCTTCTTTGCCTCCATAGATAACGTTTTTTGACTCCACATATACCTCAACGCACCACTCACCTTTTTTCCCTCATCAATTCTATGATTAACCTCATCCTTCATAAATCCATCCGCCGACACGTCAACTCCAAGTATCTGAAAACATTCACTTCTTCCATACTCCTCCTCCCCAATTTGATATCCAATTTTTCTTTATCTAAATCATTTGATACCCTCATCACCTTACTCTTTTCTATGTTCACTTTCAACTTTCTACCTTTACACACATTCTCAAATCATCTACTAACCTTTGCAATTTTTCTTTAGAATCTCCATAAGCACAGTATCATCAGCAAAAAGTAACTGTGTCAATTTCCATTTTGAATTTGATTCCCATAATTTAATCCCACCCCTCTCCCAAACACCCTAGCATTTACTTCTTTTACAACCCCATCTATAAATATATTAAACAACCATGGTGACATTACACATCCCTGTTCTAAGACCTACTTTTACTGGGAAGTAGTCTCCCTCTCTTCTACACACCCTAACCTGAGCCTCACTATCCTCATAAAAGCTCTTTACAGCATTTAGTAACTTACCACCTATTCCATATACTTGCAACATCTGCCACATTGCTCCTCTATCCACTCTATCATATGCCTTTTCTAAATCCATAAATGCAATAAAAACTTTCCTACCTTTATCTAAATACTGTTCACATATATGCTTCAATGTAAACACTTGATCTACACATCCTCTACCCACTCTGAAGCCTCCCTGCTCATCTGCAATCCTACATTCTGTCTTACCTCTAATTCTTACAATTATAACCCTACTGTATACTTTTCCTGGTATACTCAGTAAAGTTATTCCTCTATAATTTTTACGATCTCTCTTGTCCCCTTTCCCTTTATATAAAGGGACTATACATGCTCTCCGCCAATCCCTAGGTACCTTCCCCTCTTTCATACATTTATTAAACAAAAGTACCAACCACTCCAACACTATATCCCCCCCTGCTTTTAACATTTCTGTCATGATCCCATCAGTTCCAGCTGCTTTACCCCCTTTCATTCTACGTAATGCCTCACGTACCTCCACCACACTTACTTTCTGCTCTTCTTCAGTCCTAAAAGATGGTATACCTCCCTGGCCAGTGCATGAAATTACCGCCTCCCTTTCTTCCTCAACATTTAAAAGTTCCTCAAAATATTCTCGCCATCTACCTAATACCTCCCTCTCCCCATCTACTAACTCCCCTACTCTGTTTTTAACTGACAAATCCATACTTTCCCTAGGCTTCCTTAACTTGTTTAACTCACTCCAAATTTTTTTGTTATTTTCATTAAAATTTCTTGACAGTGCCTCTCCCACTCTTTCATCTCCTCTCCTTTTGCACTCTCTCACCACTCTCTTCACCTTCTATCACTGTCTTGCCATACATAATATATATGTGCTGGGGTCTTGATATTTTATTATAATGATGCAAACTATTTCCTTGTGTGGCTCAGCATGATGTAGAATGTATTGTGTTAGGTAAGACACATATGCAACAGTTAGACAACTTTATTCCGAAACGTTTCGCCTACACAGTAGGCTTCTTCAGTCGAATACAGAAAGTAGGCAGGAACAGTAGAGATGTGAAGACGATGTAATCAGTCCATCACCCTTAAAGTCGTAGGGTGATGGACTGATTACATCGTCTTCACATCTCTACTGTTCCTGCCTACTTTCTGTATTCGACTGAAGAAGCCTACTGTGTAGGCGAAACGTTTCGGAATAAAGTTGTCTAACTGTTGCATATGTGTCTTACCTAACAACCTGTCGGTATTGTATACCATTTTGATGTTCAGAATGTATTGTGTATTTTATGATCAATAGAAATTCCCATTGTTATTAGGATTTTGTATAACTTGGGTACAGTATTATCATGAGGTCTTGTTTTAAAATATATTTAAGCATATGGTAGTTAAATAGATGGACATTGTATTACATGTACTTGATCAATTTTTGGCAGTAAACAATTAGATTTTTAGTTTAGTCAAACTTAGAATAATCTAAGGCAAAAATCATGATGTTATCAGGTCAACACAGGTCTAAGACTATGTGCACCATAGAGTGTAACAGATGTGATAATGGACTGTAATTCCTCAATTGACAGTGACTTCCACTCGGGCATCTGGTGGCAATGATATGCTGTCGGACTCTCGGTACGAAGGCTTTCAACTTTTAGATGAAGTGCATGATGGGGATGAAGAAGACAACGATGAACCAGGTATGTTCTCACTCCACATATTTTTGCTGCAGCTATGACAACAAGTCTTATGCATAAAGTGTTTAAATATCAAATACATTTTTCACAGAAATAAAATTTTCGTGTTTTAAGCACTGCATGTTGTTCTTTTATTGCCAGTTTAAACTGTCGACATAAATATTTTTATTACATAGGTAGTAATGAATGTTAAAATACCTAAATATAAATATGGGAGCTTTGTTGTTTCCCAGTGACAGTTTCGAAATTAGTATTTTTGTTTTTTAATTGAAGGTTTTAGGATTTTTAAATATTTTATTTATAAATACTAGTTAAAAAAATGAAGATATCTTCCTCAGTCACTAACTTGATCAAACTATGGAACATTTAGTTCAGTTATTATTAAAATTATTGCAATTACTATATTTATTAATTCAGATGGCCAAGATTCTGAGGAGGACTACGAATATGATTCCGAGGTGCCCGAAGAAGAGATTGATGCTCTTCTGGAGGAAGGACTTCCAGAGGAAATGAAAGGCCCAAGAAAGAGAAAAAAGGACACTGTTTTAGGAGAAGGAGAGGATGCCCCATATGATGAAAGACAAAAAGTTGTTCTTGTTGGTAAGAGAAACTATAATTTGTAATATTAAATCCGAAATAGAGGCTGTTCTGAAAGATGTGTTCTCGACTGCACAGCTTTTGTCGTGGCTATCAATAAAATTAACTTGGTCATTCGTTCCTTTGTATCAGAAACTTGTAGATTGTGTACGTTCCATCTCTGGGGAGTGGTGATTAGGATGTCGTCCACATACTAATATCTAAGTCGACTTTTTCTAGTATTTTTTTAACACTAGTTATCCCCCACTGAGGTAGGGTGACCCAGAATAAAAATAAATACATTCACCATCATTCATTCAATTGTTGTCTTGCCAAATATATTTATATGTCATAGTTCAAATGACCCTCTGAACTGCAATATCCTCACCAATCCTCTAGACTCTAGAGTATAGGTACAGTGCTTCCTACCTCTAGGATTCAAATCCAGTTAACCAATTTCCCTGAATCCCTTCATAAATGTTACTGTGCTTATTTCAGCAGCATATCAGGCCATAAAAACCATTTGTCTCCACTCGGCCTGATCTAATATGCTCACAAAAGCCTGTTGGATGTTCAAATCCCTGTCACTCAAAACTACCTTTACCTGCTTTCTCTGGTCCTTCATGGAACAACCCCTAGCCATCCTTCCCTCCACTCCAGATTTATATACCCTCCATGTTATCCTGTTTTACACCATCCTCTCTAGGTGCCCAAACCACCTCAACAACCCCTCTTCAGCTCTTCTAATTATACTTATTATACCACAACATGAAGTTATAATCAAAACTTGTCATTGCAGAAAAAGGCAGCAATCATTTTGAGGTGCTGCCAGAGGGTTGGGTGCAAGTCACCCACAACAGTGGTATGCCAGTCTATCTTCACAAACAATCAAGAGTTTGTACTATGTCCAAACCCTACTTTCTAGGACAAGCCAGTGTTAGGGTAAGTCCTAAGTAGTTTAAAATAAAAAAAAAATCCTGTAACCTAGGAATTGTGGGTCATCTTGGAAGGATTGCTGACAATGATATGCATAACATCCTCCCTCACCAAGATACAGTAACATAATATAAACTGTTTCACTTCAACAAAATATTGTAAATAGGAGGGGCAGTACCTTCACTCTGAAGAAGTGGGGATGTTGCAGTCGGATTGTAATGTCAGTACACTTTGTGAAAGATGGTGATTTAATGAATGATGGTGAATGTGTTTTCTTCTTTGGTTACTTTTCCTTGATAGGAAACTGCTGTTAAGTTAAAAAAGTTTCACTCTTCTAAAATATTATAAACAAATGTTTAGCTCTGTTGAAATACTTATTTTAAATGATAGTTTGTTCTGATGAAATATTGCAAATGATGATGAGCTTCAGTGAACACTGTCAACTGTTGTGCTCTAGTGAACACTGTCAACTGTTGTGCTTCAGTGAACACTGTCAACTGTTGTGCTCTAGTGAACACTGTCAACTGTTGTGCTTCAGTGAACACTGTCAACTGTTGTGCTTCAGTGAACACTGTCAACTGTTGTGCTTCAGTGAACACTGTCAACTGTTGTGCTCTAGTGAAACACTGTCAACTGTTGTGCTTCAGTGAACACTGTCAACTGTTGTGCTTCAGTGAACACTGTCAACTGTTGTGCTTCAGTGAACACTGTCAACTGTTGTGCTTCAGTGAACACTGTCAACTGTTGTGCTTCAGTGAACACTGTCAACTGTTGTGCTCTAGTGAACACTGTCAACTGTTGTGCTTCAGTGACACTGTCAAACTGTTGTGCTTCAGTGAACACTGTCAACTGTTGTGCTTCAGTGAAACACTGTCAACTGTTGTGCTTCAGTGAACACTGTCAACTGTTGTGCTTCAGTGAACACTGTCAACTGTTGTGCTTCAGTGAACACTGTCAACTGTTGTGCTTCAGTGAAACACTGTCAACTGTTGTGCTCCAGTGAAACACTGTCAACTGTTGTGCTTCAGTGAAACACTGTCAACTGTTGTGCTTCAGTGAAAACACTGTCAACTGTTGTGCTCCAGTGAACACTGTCAACTGTTGTGCTTCAGTGAACACTGTCAACTGTTGTGCTTCAGTGAACACTGTCAACTGTTGTGCTCTAGTGAACACTGTCAACTGTTGTGCTTCAGTGAACACTGTCAACTGTTGTGCTTCAGTGAACACTGTCAACTGTTGTGCTTCAGTGAACACTGTCAACTGTTGTGCTTCAGTGAACACTGTCAACTGTTGTGCTTCAGTGAACACTGTCAACTGTTGTGCTTCAGTGAACACTGTCAACTGTTGTGCTTCAGTGAAACACTGTCAACTGTTGTGCTCCAGTGAACACTGTCAACTGTTGTGCTTCAGTGAAACACTGTCAACTGTTGTGCTTCAGTGAAACACTGTCAACTGTTGTGCTCCAGTGAACACTGTCAACTGTTGTGCTCCAGTGAACACTGTCAACTGTTGTGCTCCAGTGAACACTGTCAACTGTTGTGCTTCAGTGAACACTGTCAACTGTTGTGCTTCAGTGAACACTGTCAACTGTTGTGCTTCAGTGAAACACTGTCAACTGTTGTGCTTCAGTGAACACTGTCAACTGTTGTGCTTCAGTGAACACTGTCAACTGTTGTGCTTCAGTGAACACTGTCAACTGTTGTGCTTCAGTGAACACTGTCATCTGTTGTGCTCCAGTGAACACTGTCAACTGTTGTGCTTCAGTGAACACCTGTCAACTGTGTGCTTCAGTGAACACTGTCAATGTTGTGCTTCAGTGAACACTGTCAACTGTTGTGCTCTAGTGAACACTGTCAACTGTTGTGCTTCAGTGAACACTGTCAACTGTTGTGCTAAAGTGAACACTGTCAACTGTTGTGCTTCAGTGAACACTGTCAACTGTTGTGCTTCAGTGAACACTGTCAACTGTTGTGCTTCAGTGAACACTGTCAACTGTTGTGCTCTAGTGAACACTGTCAACTGTTGTGCTTCAGTGAACACTGTCAACTGTTGTGCTTCAGTGAACACTGTCAACTGTTGTGCTTCAGTGAACACTGTCAACTGTTGTGCTTCAGTGAACACTGTCAACTGTTGTGCTCCAGTGAACACTGTCAACTGTTGTGCTTCAGTGAACACTGTCAACTGTTGTGCTTCAGTGAACACTGTCAACTGTTGTGCTTCAGTGAACACTGTCAACTGTTGTGCTCTAGTGAAACACTGTCAACTGTTGTGGTCCAGTGAACACTGTCAACTGTTGTGCTCTAGTGAAACACTGTCAACTGTTGTGCTCCAGTGAACACTGTCAACTGTTGTGGTCCAGTGAACACTGTCAACTGTTGTGGTCCAGTGAACACTGTCAACTGTTGTGGTCCAGTGAACACTGTCAACTGTTGTGGTCCAGTGAACACTGTCAACTGTTGTGGTCCAGTGAACACTGTCAACTGTTGTGGTCCAGTGAACACTGTCAACTGTTGTGGTCCAGTGAACACTGTCAACTGTTGTGCTCTAGTGAACACTGTCAACTGTTGTGGTCCAGTGAACACTGTCAACTGTTGTGCTCTAGTGAACACTGTCAACTGTTGTGCTTCAGTGAACACTGTCAACTGTTGTGCTTCAGTGAACACTGTCAACTGTTGTGCTCTAGTGAACACTGTCAACTGTTGTGGTCCAGTGAACACTGTCAACTGTTGTGGTCCAGTGAACACTGTCAACTGTTGTGCTTCAGTGAACACTGTCAACTGTTGTGCTTCAGTGAACATTGTCAACTGTTGTGCTTCAGTGAACACTGTCAACTGTTGTGCTTCAGTGAACACTGTCAACTGTTGTGCTTCAGTGAACACTGTCAACTGTTGTGGTCCAGTGAACACTGTCAACTGTTGTGCTTCAGTGAACACTGTCAACTGTTGTGCTTCAGTGAACACTGTCAACTGTTGTGCTTCAGTGAACACTGTCAACTGTTGTGCTTCAGTGAACACTGTCAACTGTTGTGCTTCAGTGAACACTGTCAACTGTTGTGCTTCAGTGAACACTGTCAACTGTTGTGCTCCAGTGAACACTGTCAACTGTTGTGCTTCAGTGAACACTGTCAACTGTTGTGCTTCAGTGAACACTGTCAACTGTTGTGCTTCAGTGAACACTGTCAACTGTTGTGCTTCAGTGAACACTGTCAACTGTTGTGCTCTAGTGAAACACTGTCAACTGTTGTGCTTCAGTGAACACTGTCAACTGTTGTGCTTCAGTGAACACTGTCAACTGTTGTGCTTCAGTGAACACTGTCAACTGTTGTGCTTCAGTGAACACTGTCAACTGTTGTGCTCTAGTGAAACACTGTCAACTGTTGTGCTTCAGTGAACACTGTCAACTGTTGTGCTCCAGTGAACACTGTCAACTGTTGTGCTCCAGTGAAACACTGTGTACATTGTGCACCTCTCTTATGGAACAGTCTACAGTAAAGGCTTGTACAGTACTGGAATAGATGTACTCTCAAGAAATTGATATTTCCTTGTCAAGATATTAGCAGTTTGGAGGGATATGTTGTGTATCTTTATACGTATATGCTTCTAAACTGTTGTATTCTGAGCACCTCTGCAAAAACAGTGATTATGTGTGAGTGTGGTACAAGTGTTGAATGATGATGAAAGTATTTTCTTTTTGGGGATTTTCTTTCTTTTTGGGTCACCCTGCCTCGGTGGGAGATGGCTGACTTGTTGAAAAAAAAAATAAATCCAAGAAAGAGGTAACCTCCATTTCAGCACTCAGAGTTTTTCTAGAAACATTAAGGTGGTTGGAGTAGTGATGGTGGTGGTTGGAGTAGTGATGGTGGCGGGTGGAGTAGTGATGGTGGCGGGTGGAGTAGTGATGGTGGTGGTTGGAGTAGTGATGGTGGTGGTTGGAGTAGTGGTGGTGGTGGTTGGAGTAGTGATGGTGGTGGGTGGAGTAGTGATGGTGGCAGGTGGAGTAGTGGTGTGTGGTGGTTGGAGTAGTGATGGTGGTGGGTGGAGTAGTGATGGTGGCAGGTGGAGTAGTGATGGTGGTGGTTGGAGTAGTGATGGTGGTGGGTGGAGTAGTGATGGTGGTGGTTGGAGTAGTGATGGTGGTGGGTGGAGTAGTGATGGTGGGTGGGTGGAGTAGTGATGGTGGTGGTTGGAGTAGTGATGGTGGTGGTTGGAGTAGTGATGGTGGTGGTTGGAGTAGTGATGGTGGTGGTTGGAGTAGTGATGGTGGTGGGTGGAGTAGTGATGGTGGTGGTTGGAGTAGTGATGGTGGTGGTTGGAGTAGTGATGGTGGTGGTTGGAGTAGTGATGGTGGTGGGTGGAGTAGTGATGGTGGTGGTTGGAGTAGTGATGGTGGTGGTTGGAGTAGTGATGGTGGCAGGTGGAGTAGTGATGGTAGTGGTTGGAGTAGTGATGGTGGTGGTTGGAGTAGTGATGGTGGCGGTTGGAGTAGTGATGGTGGCGGGTGGAGAGTAGTGATGGTGGCGGGTGGAGTAGTGATGGTGGTGGTTGGAGTAGTGATGGTGGTGGTTGGAGTAGTGGTGGTGGTGGTTGGGTAGTGATGGTGGTGGGTGGAGTAGTGATGGTGGCAGGTGGAGTAGTGATGGTGGTGGTTGGAGTAGTGATGGTGGTGGTTGGAGTAGTGATGGTGGTGGTTGGAGTAGTGATGGTGGTGGTTGAGTAGTGATGGGTGGTTGGTTGGAGTAGTGATGGTGGTGGGTGGAGTAGTGATGGTGGTGGTTGGAGTAGTGATGGTGGTGGTTGGAGTAGTGATGGTGGTGGGTGGAGTAGTGATGGTAGTGGTTGGAGTAGTGATGGTGGTGGTTGGAGTAGTGATGGTGGTGGGTGGAGTAGTGATGGTGGTGGTTGGAGTAGTGATGGTGGTGGTTGGAGTAGTGATGGTGGTGGTTGGAGTAGTGATAGTGGTGGTTGGAGTAGTGATGGTGGTGGTGTGAGTAGTGATAGTGGTGGTTGGAATAGTGATGGTGGTGGTTGGAGTAGTGATGGTGGTGGGTGGAGTAGTGATGGTGGTGGTTGGAGTAGTGATGGTGGTGGTTGGAGTAGTGATGGTGGTGGGTGGAGTAGTGATGGTGGTGGTTGGAGTAGTGATAGTGGTGGTTGGAGTAGTGATGGTGGTGGTTTGGAGTAGTGATGGTGGTGGTTGGAGTAGTGATGGTGGTGGTTGGAGTAGTGATGGTGGTTGGAGTAGTGATGGTGGTGGTTGGAGTAGTGATGGTGGTGGTTGGAGTAGTGATGGTGGTGGGTAGAGTAGTGATGGTGGTGGTTGGAGTAGTGATGGTGGTGGTTGGAGTAGTGATGGTGGTGGGTGGAGTAGTGATGATGGTGGTTGGAGTAGTGATGGTGGTGGTTTGGAGTAGTGATGGTGGTGGGTGGGAGTAGTGATGGTGGTGGTTGGAGTAGTGATGGTGATGGGTGGAGTAGTGATGGTGGAGGTTGGAGTAGTGATGGTGGAGGTTGGAGTAGTGATGGTGGGTGGAGTAGTGATGGTGGTGGTTGGAGTAGTGATGGTGGTGGGTGGAGTAGTGATGGTGGTGGGTGGAGAGTAGTGATGGTGGTGGTTGGAGTAGTGATGGTGGTGGGTGGAGTAGTGATGGTGGTGGGTGGAGTAGTGATGGTGGTGGGTGGAGTAGTGATGGTGGTAGGTGGAGTAGTGATGGTGGTGGGTGGAGTAGTGATGGTGGTGGGTGGAGTACTAATGGTGGTGGGTGGAGTAGTGATGGTGGTGGGTGGAGTAGTGATGGTGGTGGGTTGAGTACAGATAGTGGTGGGTGGAGTTTGTGATGATGGTGAGTGGAGTAGTGATGATGGTGGGTGGAGTAATGATGGTGGTGGGTGGAGTAGTGATGGTGGTGGGTGGAGTAGTTTATGGTGGTGGGTGGAGTAGTGATGGTGGTGGGTGGAGTACAGATAGTGGTGGGGTGGAGTAAGTGATGATGGTGAGTGGAGTAGTGATGATGGTGGGTGGAGTAATGATGGTGGTGGGTGGAGTAGTGATGGTGGTGGGTGGAGTAGTGATGGTGGTGGTTGGAGTAGTGATGGTGGTGGGTGGAGTAGTGATGGTGGTGGTTGGAGTAGTGAAGGTTGTGACTGGAGTATACAGTATTTTCTATAAATACATTTTTCTTATTTAAAAACCCCATAACAAAAAATTGGGGTGGTTTTTTGGGGGCTGGAATGGATTAATGGCATTTCAATTAATTTCAATGAGGAAAATTCATTTGATATACAAGCAGATTGAGTTACGAGCACGGTCACAGAACGAATTAAACTCGTAAGTCAAGGTACCACTGTATGCATGAATAGACTTAAGTGAGAGCAACTGCCCAGGGAGGTACTACCGTCCTGCCAAGTGAGTGTAAAACAAAAGCCTGTAATTGTTTTATATGATGGTAGGACTGCTGGTATCTTTTCTGTCTCATAAACGTGCAAGATTTCAGGTACATTTGTCTTGCTACTTCTTACACTTAGGTCACACTACACATGCATGTACAAGCATATATAGATACACACACCTTTGGATTTTCTTCTATTTTCTTACTAGTTCTTGTTTATTTCCTCTTATCTCCATGAAGAAGTGGAACAGAATTCTTCCTCTGTAAGCCATGCGTGTCGTAAGAGGCAACTAAAATGCTTGGAGCAAGGGGGCTAGTAACCCCTTCTCCTGTATACATTACTAAAGTTAAAAAGAGAAACTTTTGTTTTTCTTTTTGGGTCACCTTGCCTCGGTGGGATATGGCCGGTTTGTTGAAAGGAGAAGAAATAGACTAAGTCACTAAGGTCTGTTGAAATTTGCCAAGTACATACATACATTATAGATTCAAGCAGAGTAAGATTTAGTAAAATGACTGAAGATACCTAAATGAATAAAACAGAAAAGAAGAATATATGACAGTTTTGTGTGTGTCAGTGTAAAAAGAGGCGGGAATTAATATTTACATATTTGTTATTATTAATGTACCAACTGCTGTTCACTCCAGAAGAAAATGATCAATTGGATAAAAAGTAAATACTGTAAATATTTAATTTGTACCTTAATTTATCATAGCATTACTAATTTTTTTTTTTTTCAGAAACATGACATTCCTTTGAGTGCTATCCCATGCTTCCAGTACATGAAGGCACTTGAGGTAGAAAACAGCAGTACAGAAGAAATCAAAGAGAGTACTGATCAAGAAAAGAGTGATCAAGATGATAGAGAACAACAGGTAAGCAAGATTAGTCTGCCAAGATTTTGGTTAATCATGTAGAGTTCACAGAGGCTCGTGTGTTAGTGTGACTTGTAAATGGTCCAAGACAGACTGAAACATCATCATAAGCTTCTCTCTCTCTCCTATGTGTGGGTTATTTGTGTAGAGTCTTCTGAGGCCTGGTCATGCAAACATACATGGTACTACTTGCAATAGCAAGTGACAAATATATAATTAATGATCACAAATAACCCGCACATAAAAGAGAGAAGCTTACGGCGACGTTTCGGTCCGTAAGCTTCTCTCTTTTATGTGCGGGTTATTTGTGTATCGTTCCAGTCACGGTATTGTGCCTTTTTTTGTTATTTAATTAATGATCAGTTTGGAATTTCTTTCTTTCTTTCAACACACCGGCCGTATCCCACCGAGGCAGGGTGGCCCAAAAGGAAAAAACGAAAGTAGGAAAAACGAAAGTCAGTTTGGAATTTGTAAAGTTTTAAAGAATATTGCACCAACAGTGGTAGATGACTTTCATATGCCAGTGTAAAGAATAAGTTGACACTTCTGTATTATCTCTTCATGAGCTGTATGGTATTTCAGCATTTCTCTATCCATGTATCTAGAGTTTGTTTTAATGTTTGTCAGTGCAGCATGCAAATTTCTCACATTTTTTAACCCGTAAACGGTCCAAACGTATATATATGTTTTTACCGCTAGTGCCCCAAACGTATACACCTACCATCCGACTTACGACCTGCTCGACTTACGACCACTCGACTTACGACCGTGTTTTTTATGCCAAATTTCTGGGAAATAAGCAACTATTTGAGTTGTACACAGTGTTTATCCTAAACCTTACAGTATAAAATACAGTACTAGCAACATAAAAAGTAAAGTAAAACATGAAATACCAAAATAAAACAATGAAATAAAGTCATTACAAAAATGTTTTGTTGATATTCAGTAGTAAAGTTCGACTTACGACCATTTCGACTTACGACCCGTTTCTCGGAACTGAACTCAGTCGTAAGTCGGATGGTAGGTGTATATACGTTTTATGTGTCCTACATTTAACATTGCCACGATAAGCCTGAGTCGCCTAGACATGTGAGAATGGGTGTGAGCACTCACTGTGCACCATATTAAAATAATTGGGGATGCCTGAGTACCATATGCTCTTTTTTCCTATTAAAAAACAATGTTTTTTTTTCTCAAAAAAGTTGGGGCAATACAGTAGTGAACGTATATATATGTGGGGACCATTTACGGGTTAAATGTAATCTTCGAGTGATGATCTTTCACCTGTGATGAGTTGTAAGGCCTCTCTGACACTCTGTATTTTCTTTCTGAAACTATATTGGCTTCAGTGTGGCTTTTATTAAGTTTCACTTTCAAAAGGCTTTATGTTTGGGAAATATGGTAATGATGAAACAATTCCTCTTGTTAAATGTGTTATTTTTAATTGTGATCTATGTTGTTGGTAAGTCACATGTTCTGTTTGTATGTTTCATAAGATATCTTGAAGAGTGGTTCATATTCAAATTATATAAAAAAACAATATCTTAAGTAAATAGTTTTATATATGGTTCTTTGTTATATTTTGAGAAGAATGGGAAATATTTTAGTGCTTTAAAAATTTATGATCTCAGAGTTAGCCTTTTTTTTACACTATATATAAAATACATTTAAATATATCATCATTGGTTTACTTTCAACAGAGAGATGAAGTACCAGTGGAAAATGGAATTGATAGCATCAAGGTTGCGTCAAGTGGGAGTCGACCATCTGGATGTCCCGCGAGCACTGGGAGTCTGGCTGCAGCTCTGGCTCTCAACACTGGTAAAGAAGGTACAGTAAACTTATAAGATAATCCCAAGCAAGAGTCACTCCTTGCACTGAATAATCCATGTGGGTTTAACACTTAACAAATTAATATAGTTATATGCAATATAACTATATTAATTTGTTAAGTGAGGAACTTTTAAATGGTGAGGAAGAAAGGGAGGCGGTAATTTCATGCATTGGCCAGGGAGGTATACCATCTTTTAGGAGTGAAGAATGTAAGTGTGGTGGAGGTACGTGAGGCATTACGTAGAATGAAAGGGGGTAAAGCAGCTGGAACTGATGGGATCATGACAGAAATGTTAAAAGCAGGGGGGGATATAGTGTTGGAGTGGTTGGTACCTAGGGATTGGCGGAGAGCATGTATAGTCCCTTTATATAAAGGGAAGGGGGACAAAAGAGATTGTAAAAATTATAGAGGAATAAGTTTACTGAGTATACGAGGAAAAGTATATGGTAGGGTTATAATTGAAAGAATTAGAGGTAAGACAGAATGTAGGATTGCGGATGAGCAAGGAGGCTTCAGAGTGGTTAGGGGATGTGTGGATCAAGTGTTTACATTGAAGCATATATGTGAACAGTATTTAGATAAAGGTAGGGAAGTTTTTATTGCATTTATGGATTTAGAAAAGGCATATGATAGAGTGGATAGAGGAGCAATGTGGCAGATGTTGCAAGTATATGGAATAGGTGGTAAGTTACTAAATGCTGTAAAGAGCTTTTATGAGGATAGTGAGGCTCAGGTTAGGGTGTGTAGAAGAGAGGGAGAATACTTCCCGGTAAAAGTAGGTCTTAGACAGGGATGTGTAATGTCACCATGGTTGTTTAATATATTTATAGATGGGGTTGTAAAAGAAGTAAATGCTAGGGTGTTCGGGAGAGGGGTTGGATTAAATTATGGGGAATCAAATTCAAAATGGGAATTGACTCAGTTACTTTTTGCTGATGATACTGTGCTTATGAGAGATTCTAAAGAAAAATTGCAAAGGTTAGTAGATGAGTTTGAGAATGTGTGTAAAGGTAGAAAGTTGAAAGTGAACATAGAAAAGAGTAAGGTGATGAGGGTATCAAATGATTTAGATAAAGAAAAATTGGATATCAAATTGGGGAGGAGGAGTATGGAAGAAGTGAATGTTTTCAGATACTTGGGAGTTGACGTGTCGGCGGATGGATTTATGAAGGATGAGGTTAATCATAGAATTGATGAGGGAAAAAAGGTGAGTGGTGCGTTGAGGTATATGTGGAGTCAAAAACGTTATCTATGGAGGCAAAGAAGGGAATGTATGAAAGTATAGTAGTACCAACACTCTTATATGGATGTGAAGCTTGGGTGGTAAATGCAGCAGCAAGGAGACGGTTGGAGGCAGTGGAGATGTCCTGTCTAAGGGCAACTTTGTGGTGTAAATATTATGCAGAAAATTCGGAGTGTGGAAATTAGGAGAAGGTGTGGAGTTAATAAAAGCATTAGTCAGAGGGCAGAAGAGGGGTTGTTGAGGTGGTTTGGTCATTTAGAGAGAATGGATCAAAGTAGAATGACATGGAAAGCATATAAATCTATAGGGGAAAGAAAGAGGGGTAGGGGTCGTCCTCGAAAGGGTTGGAAAGAGGGGTAAAGGAGGTTTTGTGGGCGAGGGGCTTGGACTTCCAGCAAGCATGCATGAGCGTGTTAGATAGGAGTGAATGGAGACGAATGATACTTGGGACCTGACGATCTGTTGGAGTGTGAGCAGGGTAATATTTAGTGAAGGGATTCAGGGAAACCGGTTATTTTCATATAGTCGGACTTGAGTCCTGGAAATGGGAAGTACAATGCTTGCACTTTAAAGGAGGGGTTTGGGATATTGGCAGTTTGGAGGGATATGTTGTGTATCTTTATATGCATATGCTTCTAAATTGTTGTATTCTGAGCACCTCTGCAAAAGGAGTGATAATGTGTGAGTGTGGTGAAAGTGTTGAATGATGATGAAAGTATTTTCTTTTTGGGGATTTTCTTTCTTTTTTGGGTAACCCTGTCTCGGTGGGAGACGGCCGACTTGTTGAAAAAAAAAAAAATATGCAATATCCATGTATGGTAATTTGAATTGTGGTGTCAACATAGGTCTGCATGACAGCTAATGAATGAGTGATGGTGAATGTATTTTCTTCTTTGGGTCACTTTACCTTAGTGCAAAATGGCCAATATGGTAAAATAGACTCAATTGAATGTGTAAATTATGGTAAAAAGTTTAACCCTTTGAGGGTTTTCGTCGTACTAGTACGTCTTACGCGTAGGGGTTTTTGACGTACTAGTACGCATAAATTCTAGCGGCCTCAAATCTAGTGGGAGAAAGCTGGTAGGCCTTCATATGAAAGAATAGGTCTATGTGGTCAGTGTGCACAGTCTAAAAAAAATCCTGCAGCACACAGTGCATAATGAGAAAAAAAAAACTTTGACCATTTTTTTGGAATAAATCAGCGACTTTGCAGTGTATTTTCGTATGGTATTTATTGTTGTATTCTAGTTTTCTTGGTCTCATTTTATAGAATGGAAGACATATTGCAGAAATTGAGATGATTTTGGCTGGTTTTACAATGAAAGGTGCCTTGAAATTGAGCTCAAAGTAGCAGAAATGTTCGATTTTTACCAAACTTCAAAAGTAAACAAATCGTGCCAAGCGTGCAATACACGTCAACTGGTGAGTCTAATATTCTTTCACAAGTGCACCAATAATATTTATACCATTTTTTACACTAATGCAGTAGTCTGCATAACAGTAAATCTTATATTTTTTGTGAGAATAAAAATTCAAAATGGAAAGCAAAAGAATATAAGAGGGGCCTTGAGACGTGACTAATGACTAGAGGAAATGTCATTTTAGTGCCAGGAATGTCTTTTTTGTTTATTCTGGACCCTATTCGGAAATTGGCATCTTTTGAAATTTGTGTGAAATTGGCAAAATTGCTAAATTCTGACCACTGTACTGGATAGTTGAATTTCATAAATGGGTGGTTTCTTGCACCCATTCGATAGAAAAAATGGAGTTCTAGCGAAATATTCATGTTTTTTGTCGACTAGTACAGCGAAATTGGCCGAAAATGGGGCTCAAAGTGGGCAAAATCGCCGATGCGTAAACATCGCCGAGACCGCTAACTTTGCGAGAGCATAATTTCGTAAGTTTTCTATCAAATTTCAAACTTTTGGTGTCTTTATGATCGGGAAAAGATTCTCTATCTTTTCATAAGAGAAAATAATTTTTTTTTTTTTTAAATTTGGCCAACCCTGAGAACGAGTTTCGGAGAGGGCCTGTCGACCCTCAAAGGGTTAATGGAAGAATCTTGAGAACAAGATTGTCATATTTTACAGCTGGCAGTAGTACCTATGGTAAAACATTTTTATATTTAAAAAAAAACTGCATACAGTGGATTGAATAAATGTTTATACTGGTTGATTCTTTATGAAATTCACAAGACTAGCAGACTGCATTTCTTTCTCCTTCAATTAGTCTTCCAACTGCATAAATACAGTACAGTATATAGTAGAATAAGTGTAGATAGGAAGAATAATAAATATAGGGATAGAGTTTAATTTTGAGTCACCCCACCTTAGTGGACGATGGCCGGTGTGTTAAAAAATGTAATTTCCTTATTAATGTACAGACATACATGAATGTGTTAATATCTCTCTACATCAGTCTTTGTTGTTTCTGCAGGAGTGGCTCCACCTGCAGCATTGATGGTGGGTAATGCCAAGATTGAGACAGCTGTTGAAAACCTGCAGCAACAATCTCTTGATGTGACAGAGTTGCGAGAGTACTGCCAGAAGCGTTTTCAGTTTAAGAGCATCAAAATCATTAGATTCAAGTAAGTATTTCTAGCTTTGCTCTTGAAAAGTAAACATATGGATTTATATAATTAGGACTGTATTGTAGGTTGGTAGACAGCAACCATCAAGTGAGGTTCTACCAGCCAGTCATGTAAATGTGAAACAGGCTTGTTAACCCTTTCAAGGTGGGTCCCATTGTACTACAGCTTTGAAGCCCTGGTCAGTCCTATTGTACTACGGCTTTGAAGCCTGGATCAGTCCTGTTGTACTATGGCTTTGAAGTCCGGGTCAGTCCTACTGTACTACGGCTTTGAAGCCAAGGTCAGTCCTGTTGTACTACGGCATTGAAGCCAAGGTCAGTCCTGTTGTACTACGGCATTGAAGCCTGGGTCAGTCCCGTTGTTCTACATGATGAGCTCAGCTCTCAGATATGCTGTAAGCAGTAAATCTGGACCTAGATATGAGAGAATGGGTCTGTGCACCATATTAAAAAAATCCTGCAGCGTGCAGAGCATAATGAGAAAAAAACGTGACAATAAATAATAAAAAAAAGGCACAATACTGTGACTGGAACGATACACAAATAATCTGCACATAGAAGAGAGGAGCTTACGACGATGTTTTTGTTCTACTTGGACCATTTACAAAGTCAATTTATTCTTTTTGTTAATGTGACTTTGTAAATGGTCCAAATCGGACCGAAACGTCGTCGTAAGCTCCTCTCTTCTATGTGCGGGTTATTTGTGTAACTGTGACCATGTTTTTGGTTTAAAACAGCAACTTTGCTGTGTATTTTTGTGTAGTTTTTATGGCTGTATTCTTGGTTTCTTGGACTCATTTGATAGAATGGAAGATTTTTTTTTTTTTTTTCAACAAGTCGGCCGTCTCCCACCGAGACAGGGTGACCCAAAGAGAAAGAAAATCCCCAAAAAGAAAAAAACTTTCATCATCATTCAACACTTTCACCTCACTCACACATAATCACCGTTTTTGCAGAGGTGCCCAGAATTCAACAGCTTAGAAGTATATACGTATAAAAACACACAACATATCTCTCCAAACTGCCAGTATCCCTAACCCCTCCTTTAGAGTGCAGGCATTGTACTTCCCATTTCCAGGACTCAAGTCCGGTATATATTACAGAAATAGACATGATTTTGATAGGTTTGAGGACTGAAAGTAGTTTAAGACTGAGCTCAGAGTAGCAGAAATGTTAAAATTTTGCCAATATTTTAGAGTACACAAATTACATTACTCCTATGTGTCTAACTGGTCAGTCTAATACATGTTCACAAATTCGCTGACATTATTTTTACAATTATTACAATAATGCAGTAGTCTGCATATCAGTAAATCTTCTATTTTTTGTGTGAATAAAAATTCAAAATGGAAAGCAAGCATAATGTAGAGGAGGCCTCAGGATATAATTAATGAACAGGAAATGTTTTTTTAGTGCTAGAAATATCTACATTGTTTATTCTGGACCCAATTTTTAAATTGGTAATTTTTTAATTTTATGTGAAATTAACTAAATAGCTGAATTCTGATCACTTTATTGGGTAGTTGAAATAGGTAAATGGGCAGTTTCTTGTACTCAGTCATTGGAATATGAGGAATACTAGCAAAATAGCTATGAGTTTGGTCAACTGGAAAAATGAAATTGGCTGAAAATTGGGCTCAAAGTGGGTGAAACCACCGATGCGTAAATATTGCCAGGACCGCTAACTTTGCAGAATTGTAATTCTGTAAGTTTTCCATTAAATTACATACATTTGGTTTCATTACCTTCAGAAAAAGGCTTTTGTGTCATTTCATGAGAATTTTTTTGTTTTTGTTTTTTGAAATTCTTTTTTGGGTCACCCTACCTCAGTAGGTGGTGGCCAGTGTTAAAAAAATAGTACTGACCTGTATGTGGTTGCAGGGGTTTAGTCTTAGTTCCTTGCCCTGCATCTCTACCTATGGAAAATGGATAGAACATAAATTGTGTGTTTTGCTTTATCTAAAGTATATTTATCTTAGAGACTTTTCTCCTTTCTTTATCTGTATATCTTGATTTAAATTTTGTTTACCTTATATAAGTATCAGTGACTGGGTCAAAGAAAATTTCTGATGGAAGTGAGAATTGTTCATTTATAAATTTATTTAGCAAATGTTTCAGGTGTTCCCTTTTAAGCTGTTTTGCTTAGAGCTAAGACATCTAACTTCTTTTCAGTCTTTTTTTTTTTTTTTTTTTTCAACAAGTTGGCCGTTTCCCACCGAGGCAGGGTGACCCAAAAAAGAAAGAAAATCTCCAAAAAGAAAATACTTTCATCATCATTCAACACTTTCACCACACTCACACATTATCACTGTTTTTGCAGAGGTGCTCAGAATACAACAGTTTAGAAGTTTATACATATAAAGATACACAACATATCCCTCCAAACTGCCAATATATTCTTCTTATCCATTCTTCACCACTTACAATCAAACAACCCAACTTCAAAATTTTCTTTTTCATGGCTGGTATTTCTAGATGTGTAGATCAGAATCTTCACTGTACCTGATTTCCAATCTGAATAAAATGTTTAATGTGTTAAATCATTGAATCTTGACTCTGTGTCTTCTGAAGGTCTTGGGCAGAAAGGAGGAGATTCCAGAAGCTGAATAAAAAGAAAGATCGTCCTCAGTTACCTGAAGGAACCAAACTCATCTCACTCAGGAGACAAGGTATGACTTTGAGCTAAGAGGCTCTCTTGTTATTATTATGATAATTATTGGGAAGAGCTAATGATGTAAAGGTTGTGCAGTGACTAGGTAATGGAAGACAGTCAGGTTTGATCCAAGACAGGGGCGCTCCAGTTCCATGAATCAAACCATTCATAAATTTCAAAGTGCCCTTTAAGGGTTTCAAATCGAAAACATAAGCTGCTTATTTCTTATATATGTCATTTGTCGCGACGGTAACAATGTGTAGTCCTCCACTTGCTCTTTCCAGTATCCAATATTGTCATATACACCAGTGGGGCAATTGCTACTTTGAAATCAATTGATATGAAATCTCTTCATGACAGACTGAAAGGGCTAGAGGCTTCACATATTGTCAAGCTGTAAGCTATAACTTAACTTATGGCTTAATTTAATATTAGCTGTGGAAGCTTGTATCTGGAATTTAATTATTCATTTCTACTGTTGTGCTTTTCCTGATCTCACTGAACTTTCCCTAGTGCATGTACTTTGAAATCTTGAAGGAAACAGATCTCTAAACTAAACCGCTTCATGTGCTGTGCCGTAATTTTCTTTTCAGAAGAAGATGGTGCTCCAGCAGCTAGCAGTAAAAAGGAATGGATTATGAATCCCAAAGGAAAAAGTTATGTGTGTATCTTGCATGAGTATGTCCAGCACGCTTTGAAGAAGCAACCCAAATATGTCTTCAAAGAAGTAGGTAAGTGACTTTCAGTCTTTAGACATTTTTGGTACTAATAATTTCCAAGGAATCAATAAGTCATCCACAAAATCCTTAATAGACTTGAAATACATAAAACTATAGTATATATTCAGACATAATAATAACACTTGATAAGTATGAAAATAAAGAAACACTACAGTAGACCTTTTTGGTAATGCTAGTCAGGTCCTGATCACACCCAGCTGTTACATAAGAATTATAGGTGTACTACATCAAGCTGACTGGTTTATGCTAGACAGGCCTCATTCACATTCACTACATACTCATTTGGCAGAGATTTGTAAAGTACTGTAGTTAAATTCTGTTGGTCATCACGGTTATCCACATTGAATACATGTCGGTGGTTGGTGGATGGAAGAGGACTGGGTAATTTGGATGGTTGCCTGGGGGAGAGGGAGATAAGAGGATGAGTAGGTGACACCCTCTTTCTCCTCTGCTTACCAGGCCTGGATTGCCTTACTGTATTCATGGTGTCAACACGCTTTCCTTTCACTATAATGAACTGGACAATAATACTGTATTTTTTACATTATCTTATGCAACCATCATTTGCATTTCATAGTAATAAACTATTTGAAAGAGAAATACAATGTAAACAATCTGAGGGAAGTTTGGCATGTCTGTTTAGACTGAAATATTGTTACTGAATGTGATTTTATCCATGATACACCAGAGGTAGGAATTTAGTGTGCAGTAGGCCCTAATATGTAAGCTTTTCAACCTCTGAGAGATATTACTCATGAATAGGTCAACCCCACTATTTGCTTAAATATTTGAGCTTAAAACCTCACCCTATAGTCAAAGTATTCAAGTTTGTTGGAAAATTATCCTTGGGAAGTTCTTGTCTTGTCTCTGTTAAGCAACTTTCTTATTGAAGCATAAGAAATAGACTACAGTTTAAAAGTAGTCTTTGATTTCTTTATCACATTTTGTACAAAATATTATTCAGTTTACTGACAAAACAACCCACTATTATTCCATTATTATAAGATAAAGAATAAAATCTACACTCAGACACATTATGTACTGTACTGCTTTTTCTCTTAATTTTATATTTTTTTTTTTTTCAACAAGTCGGCCGTAACCCCATCTCCTGTATAAATTACTAAATGTAAAAAGAGAAACTTTCGTTTTTCTTTTTGGGCCACCCTGCCTTGGTGGGATACAGCCGGTTTGTTGAAAAAAAAAAGAAAAAAAGATTTTTTTTTTTTTTTTTTGGGGGGGGGGGGGCCACGCTGCCTTGGTGGGATATGGCCGGTTTGTTGAAAAAAAAAAAAAAAATTTTTTTTTTTTGGGGGGGCCACCCTGCCTTGGTAGGATACGGCTGGTTTGTTGAAAGAAGAATATTTAAAGCTAATCACAATGTTTTATAAATGGACCTTAAGGCTGTAATTTTATTTGAAATTCAGTACATTATAATTTTTGACAATTTTAAAGCATTATGGAAGATAATGGTAGAATTACCAACAATATGTTTGGTAAAATGACACAAGTGCAAGTGATGGCTTGACAAAGCTCCTGGTGAGCAAAATGTTGCCATAATAATATGCCAAATTTATTGCATGCGTGTCCTTTTACCTCAATGTAGAAGATATTGTGATGGATCTTTATTTGCAAATTGTAAATGTCTGACAGTCAGTGGAATCTAAAATTTTGACTATGCTCCTCTGCATGCACCACAACTATCTTCTGCAATGTATATTTGTGTTTGTGCGACTTAAATGTTTGTTCATAAATTTTTCTTCACTCACCACCAGAAAATGCAGCCACTCCTTATGCAGCAACCATTATTATCAATGAAATGCAATACAGCACAGGATATGGGAGCAGCAAAAAGCAAGCCAAAACAGAAGCAGCCAAGGCAACACTGGAGATTCTATTGCCTGAGCTGGGAGAGAAGATCAGGGAAGAGTCCAACACTAAAGGAGAGGCTGATTTATCTGTGAGTTAATAGGAACTGGAGGTTAGAGGACATGGTCATAACATAACAAGATAATTAGAAAAATTAACAGTCACAGTATACCAGACAATGTGATAAGGTTGCATGTCATAAGGGCACATATGTTGTGACCATGTAACAATCACAACATATAAGACTTCTAGAGGCATCAACAAGGTTGTTATGAGCACCTGTAAGGCCATCTCTTTGTAAGATGTCCTTACAATTTGATGACAATTTTCAATCTTTATTGGGGTATTTTCACTCTATTACTACTACATGACTTTTCTACATAAAACTCCAATAATTGTTCAGTTTATCCAATTCATCTAGTTTGAGATTTGCATTTTCATTTTTTCTTTGCACATTTTTTTTTTTTACCTAATTCATAGATATAGCCATATAGTTTTTACTCCTTGAGGTAGGCCATGAAGAACATTACTAGGACTAGTACTGATACCTGTGTAATCACATTAGTGATTCTAGGATGACAATTTTTATTTTATCACTTGTCTTATTTTTCTTTCAAATAAAGATTTCTTCATGTATTTAAGAGTTAATCTTCAATAACTTATATGTGGTATTTTGTAATTTTGAAATTAGTTTGTTACTAGGAATATTATCAGATGATTTGTTGAAATCTGTGTAAATGCATTTAGCCCATCTCTTCATTGTATAATTTTCATGACAATCATAAAGTTTTTAGTCTGCATTAGTATGTAATTGCTTTTATGTGTAGATATAAAAATACATTGATGTATAGATAAACATATCCTTGTATTAATATTTACAGTTCTTTGATGAGATCCGTATTGAAGATCCCAGAGTACCCGAGCTCTGTAACAAGACCAGTGAACTTTCTCCCTACTCCATTCTATTGAATTGTTTACAAAGAAACTTTGGCCTTAATGGTGCAAACATAGACTCAAGGCTGGTGACTCAGAAGAACCAAAAAAATGAATTTGTGATGACTGTGGGTAAACACACAGTGCAGGTCCAGTGTAAGAACAAGAAGGATGGCAAGCAGAGAGCATCTCAGGCTATTCTTCAGGTAACTTCATTTGTGTTAACTCATACTTCATGCAGGACATACCAGGCATTGTGCAGCAGAAAAGAATAAGCGCCAAACTCAAACAGTGGACAAAAATGCACATATGGGGGAGATCAGAGCATTGAAGCTAAAGTTACCATACTGTGTTATGGGGTTGTTAGCCTAACTTTTAGATGAACAAGACTATATCTATACATTACCTTGAACAGGCAAAACATTAAGGAATCGATTCATTCACTAATTGAGATTTTAGCTGTGTTGGTGGTGCTTATGCATTTTTGCCATGTGATGCCTGATGCCCTAATGGCGATTACTCATTTTGTAATATTAGACACTTCTGTAAGCAAATTTTCTAATAGTACTGAATACACTGAAGCCCAGGAACCTTGGCTGCAGGCTGGGTTCATATGTATACTTCACTCTCACTTGTAACCATTAAGTGGCTGTTATTCTCAGTGTAGCATTAACTGGATTTTTGCATCATCAATAAAAGTTTTTTCTGTACAGGAGTTCCAAATTTACAGACAAGTTATATTCATAAACAAGTTGCTCTATTGAAATCATTAGTATAAAATAGTTATTTTTCACACATTTGTGTTGTAGATCTTTGATTGTAAAAGTTTTAATGAGTTCCTGAGTGCCCTGTTTGCAAGTGCAGATATTAGAAACTTGATATGTTAATCAGAACCTGTATTATTAATAGTTTCATACAGTTAAATAATTTCATGGGATGTGAAAATGCTCATATACAGTTATTACAATATATATTTGTAATTATGCATTTGAAGATAAGATATAGTACTTGTACAAGGTATATTATATAAGCTTTAAAAAAGTTGTAATTAGTCAATACCAGTGATAAAGAAAATTGTATTGGAGATACGTCCTGGAGATGGGAAGTACAATACCTGCACTTTAAAGGAGGGGTTTGGAATATTGGCTGTTTAGAGTGACATTTAAACTGTCATATCTGGGTGCCTCTGCGAAGAGTGATTATGTGTGAATGATGGTGAAAGTGTTTCTTTCTCTTTTGGGTCACCCTCCCTTGGTGTGAGACGGCCGATGTGTTGGGAAAAAAAAATGTTGTATCTGTGCACTTCTGACAAGACAGTGATAGTGTGAATGATGATGGGAGATGGCCAGCATGTTAAAAATAAATATGTAAAATCATTTTATTACAAAGTATTTTTGTTATTACAGAAACTTCATCCACACATTAGTAGCTGGGGATCATTACTAAGGTTGTATGGAAACAGATCTATGCAGACTATGAGAGAGAAAAAAGCTGAGGAACAAGAGATCACATTACTGCAGTCAAATGCCACAGTCAACCAACCAAACACTTCCATCATTAATAAGCTAAAGCAAGAAATGCTTAAGTTGCAGGAAATGAAGGTATATGGTTGAGATTATTTTTCTGGGTTCATTCTTACATCTAGTCCTCACAATTTAATTATTAAGTTGTCTTTTAATTTTACATGCTAATGAGGGTCAAACCAACTCAAGATAAAATACTGTATTGCCAACAAATGTGCAGACATAGGCACAAGTTGCAGAACAAGCTTTCGGTGAGACAACATTTCACTCAGTGTAGAGCTTTGTCAAGTCATGACTTAATGAAGCTTATTCTTCAGCTTGTATCTTTGTCTCCAAATGAACCCACCTGGATAAAATAAAACAAAAGATAAAAATTCCATCACCAAGAGTCTCTTCAGCACCTAGAATGTGTACAGGGGACAAAAAAAAGACACAAGTGCGGCATAACACACCTTGAGTCACAAATAGATGTTTGTAACTTGATAAAGTCTGCTGTGTGGATGAAACAATATCATAAAAGGATTGCATTTTGCTAAAGTTTTTTTTTTTTTTTTTTTTTTTTTTTAACAAGTCATATAGAAGGGATACAGCTAATTAAAGTACAGGAGGGCCCAGCATATTCACTACCCTCTTTTTGGAGTTCCATGTTTTTGGTGGTTTTCAGTCAAGCCGTTGTTCTTGTTTGGTGCTTTTTCCACTTTTCCATTGTTTTCACACAACAGTTGCATAAGTGAAGGTGACCGCTGCCACATTTTACGGTAAGTATTTTATGTACGTGTATTTATTTTACTTTTATATCTATTTTTTTATGCCTAGCTATATTAACACTTAATATATCATATTGTAAACATGTTATCAGGCATTTTAGACACATTCGATGTTGAAGAAAAAACTGCTCTTTGCCACCCACCAGCAATTTTTGCTAATTGTTGGGGATAGAAACAATGGCTATAGAAATGGGGCTCTTCTGCATACAGTATTGCTATCTTCTGTTTTAAATATGTTGGATTCTTTCTGTCACCGACAGTATTTATTGTACTTTTATGTTTGGATTAATGAACTAATGTTAGTTTCTCTTTGTTTTCAGAACTCCATCCAACCCATTGGAAAGTTCCTTCCCCCAGAAGATGTTGCTCTTCCATCTGCTTCAGGAATTGATCTGAATAATGTGGACTTGTAAAGGCACTGTATTGACACCATTACAGTGTTCTCGATGATGTCCATCACCAACACTGCATTATACAAGATATTTCGCAGACTTTCAAGTTTCTTGGTAGCTAATCAGGAGGATGAAAACTGTTTTCATGAAATACAGTTTGTCGTAGTTTCATATACATTTTAAAATGATATTTTATTCAGTGTGAACTAGTTTGTCTAACAGAATTATAAGTCAGGTTCATAGCTATTTAGTAAGTGAATGCATTGCATCACTACCTGTAACAGATAACAGATATACTAAGTGAAAAAAGTGTTACTAAGCTGTGATGAAATAACTAACCACAAAGTTAACTGTGATATTCAGAGTGCATGGACTTCATCAATTTTATACCTCCTTTTTATTTTAGCTATACTATTTAAGAACTATTTATTATTGCATAGAATCAGTCTTTCACAAACTATAAATGACATTTCATTTATGATTTAGACTATTGTGAATGGTTACAGGTTTTATTCTTATTAATTTTCCTATTTATATGAAAATAATACAATGCAGTATAAAGAAAATATATTTTAAATATAATACACTGTTGGACACTGATGTAGAATATAATGACCACTATTATATTTAATGAAGATGCTATACTGTATAATTGAAATTCAGCTTTTACAAGCTTTCAATATTTTTAATTCTGCTTTTATCCCTCAAAGGAAGGTTCCTTGATGCTAGTGAGCAGTTCTTGATCCAAGATATTGGATTTGTCTTCCCCTTCCTTGGATCAAACCTGATTGACTCCTGTTTCCCAGGCACTGTATGATTGACTCCTGTTTCCCAGGCACTGTATGATTGACTCCTGTTTCCCAGGCACTGTATGATTGACTCCTGTTTCCCAGGCACTGTATGATTGACTCCTGTTTCCCAGGCACTGTATGATTGACTCCTGTTTCCCAGGCACTGTATGATCCCTGTGGGTTTAGTGTTTCCCCCTAAATATAATAATTATAATAATGATGGTTCTTTTGTAACAAGTAATAGTCTTGCAACAAGTACAGTTATTACATAAGTTTTGTTTGTTAGTTTTTTGATGGAGCAGTTCAATGTTGTATTTGTGCATTTGATTAGAATTTGTAATGGAAAACAATTTCCCCTGTTTTGAAAAAAAAAATTAGATATTCTCTTTGGAAAATTTTGAATTCTTAGAGGATGCAGTATCAGAATAAAAAATTTCAGTGTAAATTCTCAAAAATGTATTTAACATATTTAGGAGAATTCTAGATAAAGGGTAAATGATTGTAGAGTACAGGCAGAGGCTCTGCTTATTCAGCAGGCTACTGCTGTAAAGTACAGGCAGAGGCTCTGCTTATTGAGCAGGCTACTGCTGTAAAGTACAGGCAGAGGTTCTTATTGAGCAGGCTACTGCTGTAAGTACAGGCAGAGGTTCTTATTGAGCAGGCTACTGCTGTAAAGTCACTGGCAGAGGTTCTTATTGAGCAGGCTACTGCTGTAAAGTACAGGCAGAGGTTCTTATTGAGCAGGCTACTGCTGTAAAGTACAGGCAGAGGTTCTTATTCAGCAGGCTACTGCTGTAAAGTACAGGCAGAGGTTCTTATTGAGCAGGCTACTGCTGTAAAGTACAGGCAGAGGTTCTTATTCAGCAGGCTAATGCTGTAAAGATACAGGCAGAGGTTCTTATTCAGCAGGCTACTGCTGTAAAGTAGAGGCAGAGGTTTTATCAGCAGGCTACTGCTGTAAAGTACAGGCAGAGGTTCTTATTCAGCAGGCTACTGCTGTAAAGTACAGGCAGAGGTTCTTATTGAGCAGGCTACTACTGTAAAGTACAGGCAGAGGTTCTTATTGAGCAGGCTACTGCTGTAAAGTACAGGCAGAGGTTCTTATTGAGCAGGCTACTGCTGTAAAGTACAGGCAGAGGTTCTTATTGAGCAGGCTACTGCTGTAAAGTACAGGCAGAGGTTCTTATTGAGCAGGCTACTGCTGTAAAGTACAGGCAGAGGTTCTTATTGAGCAGGCTACTGCTGTAAAGTACAGGCAGAGGTTCTTATTGAGCAGGCTACTGCTGTAAAGTACAGGCAGAGGTTCTTATTGAGCAGGCTACTGCTGTAAAGTACAGGCAGAGGTTCTTATTGAGCAGGCTACTGCTGTAAAGTCAGGCAGAGGTTCTTATTGAGCAGGCTACTGCTGTAAAGTACAGGCAGAGGTTCTTATTCAGCAGGCTACTGCTGTAAAGTACAGGCAGAGGTTCTTATTAGCAGGCTACTGCTGTAAAGTACAGGCAGAGGTTCTTATTGGCAGGCTACTGCTGTAAAGTACAGGCAGAGGTTCTTATTCAGCAGGCTACTGCTGTAAAGTACAGGCAGAGGTTCTTATCAGCAGGCTACTGCTGTAAAGTAGAGGCAGAGGTTCTTATTCAGCAGGCTACTGCTGTAAAGTACAGGCAGAGGTTCTTATTCAGCAGGCTACTGCTGTAAAGTACAGGCAGAGGTTCTTATTGAGCAGGCTACTACTGTAAAGTACAGGCAGAGGTTCTTATTGAGCAGGCTACTGCTGTAAAGTACAGGCAGAGGTTCTTATTGAGCAGGCTACTGCTGTAAAGTACAGGCAGAGGTTCTTATTGAGCAGGCTACTGCTGTAAAGTACAGGCAGAGGTTCTTATTGAGCAGGCTACTGCTGTAAAGTACAGGCATAGGTTCTTATTCAGCAGGCTACTGCTGTAAAGTACAAGCAGAGGTTCTTATTCAGCAGGCTACTGCTGTAAAGTACAGGCAGAGGTTCTTATTGAGCAGGCTACTGCTGTAAAGTACAGGCAGAGGTTCTTATTCAGCAGGCTACTGCTGTAAAGTACAGGAAGAGGTTCTTATTCAGCAGGCTACTGCTGTAAAGTACAGGCAGAGGTTCTTATTCAGCAGGCTACTGCTGTAAAGTACAGGCAGAGGTTCTTATTGAGCAGGTTACTGCTGTAAAGTACAGGCAGAGGTTCTTATTCAGCAGGCTACTGCTGTAAAGTACAGGCAGAGGTTCTTATGAGCAGGCTACTGCTGTAAAGTACAGGCAGAGGTTCTTATTGAGCAGGCTACTGCTGTAAAGTACAGGCAGAGGTTCTTATTCAGCAGGCTACTGCTGTAAAGTACAGGCAGAGGTTCTTATTCAGCAGGCTACTGCTGTAAAGTACAGGCAGAGGTTCTTATTCAGCAGGCTACTGCTGTAAAGTACAGGCAGAGGTTCTTATTCAGCAAGGCTACTGCTGTAAAGTACAGGCAGAGGTTCTTATTCAGCAGGCTACTGCTGTAAAGTACAGGCAGAGGTTCTATTGAGCAGGCTACTGCTGTAAAGTACAGGCAGAGGTTCTTATTGAGCAGGCTACTGCTGTAAAGTACAGGCAGAGGTTCTTATTCAGCAGGCTACTGCTGTAAAGTACAGGCAGAGGTTCTTATTGAGCAGGCTACTGCTGTAAAGTACAGGCAGAGGTTCTTATTCAGCAGGCTACTGCTGTAAAGTACAGGCAGAGGTTCTTATTCAGCAGGCTACTGCTGTAAAGTACAGGCAGAGGTTCTTATTCAGCAGGCTACTGCTGTAAAGTACAGGCAGAGGTTCTTATTCAGCAGGCTACTGCTGTAAAGTACAGGCAGAGGTTCTTATTCAGCAGGCTACTGCTGTAAAGTACAGGCAGAGGTTCTTATTGAGCGGCTACTGCTGTAAAGTACAGGCAGAGGTTCTTATTGAGCAGGCTACTGCTGTAAAGTACAGGCAGAGGTTCTTATTCAGCAGGCTACTGCTGTAAAGTACAGGCAGAGGTTCTTATTGAGCAGGCTACTACTGTAAAGTACAGGCAGAGGTTCTTATTCAGCAGGCTACTGCTGTAAAGTACAGGCAGAGGTTCTTATTGAGCAGGCTACTGCTGTAAAGTACAGGCAGAGGTTCTTATTGAGCAGGCTACTGCTGTAAAGTACAGGCAGAGGTTCTTATTGAGCAGGCTACTGCTGTAAAGTACAGGCAGAGGTTCTTATTGAGCAGGCTACTGCTGTAAAGTACAGGCAGAGGTTCTTATTGAGCAGGCTACTGCTGTAAAGTACAGGCCAGAGGTTCTTATTGGGCAGGCTACTGCTGTAAAGTACAGGCAGAGGTTCTTATTGAGCAGGCTACTGCTGTAAAGTACAGGCAGAGGTTCTTATTGAGCAGGCTACTGCTGTAAAGTACAGGCAGAGGTTCTTATTCAGCAGGCTACTGCTGTAAAGTACAGGCAGAGGTTCTTATTCAGCAGGCTACTGCTGTAAAGTACAGGCAGAGGTTCTTATTCAGCAGGCTACTGCTGTAAAGTCATTATCTTTTTATCACTTTTAAATTCATATCAAAGCATGATAACTTTTATAGTATCATAAATTAAGTGAGCAACAGAGCTAGGCCTAAAAAATGCATACAGTACACACATTGCTTACCTTGAAATATTTTTGTCCTTAGCTTATAGAGTGGTGAATATATTTACTGTAGGAAGTCTGAATAAATAAAGAATGGGTATAATTGAAAACTGCTGTCTTAGCAAAATGCTGTAAAGTGGGGCCACCTGTACTGTATATCAGCTTGGTTGTGTATTTAAGTTATTCATTGGTATTCTAAGTACAAACTAGAAATGTCCATTAATGAAAAACTTCATTACCAAGTATCCTTAGTTAAGATACTGTTTGTTAAGCCTTGTTTGTTTTCACATCTTCTGTCCCACGTGTTATCCTAACAATGCCTCTTGGCATTAACACTAAATTTACTACTCATCTTCCTCTACATTAGATGATATAATACATAGGTAATTGCAGCTCTTAACCCGTAAATGGTCCAAACATATATATACGTTTTTTCAACATTTGAAAGTATGTAAAAAAAGTAGATCTTCTTTTTGTTTTTTTACATTTGAAAATGTGTAAAAAAAACTTTGATCTACTTTTTTTTTTTTTTTATATTTGAAAATATGTAAAAAAAACGTAGATCTACTTTTGTAGTACTACACGTGTGAACGTAGATCTGCTTGGACCGTTTACGGGTTAAATTGTTTTATTAGAGACAGCTTTCTGATAGTTTTTATGCTTTTTGGCTATATTTTAGGTACAATTTTCATAAATAGTTTAATATACTGCATAGTAATTGCTTGAAGTTAGACTTGTGGATAACTTATACACTAAATTTTCATTTTGATCGCTTAGTGACAATTTATATCCAAGTAAATGGAGCTATCCTCCACTTCTTCACTCCTGAGGCAGTGGAGAGTATTTTTGGCCTGAGTGGGTTTAATAAGCTCCATAAATAATAATAGTAATAATGGATCTAATTGTTAAAAAAATTATAGTGGGTTTTTGGTCAGTATCCTGGAAACAATTTCATAAAATCACTTTGGAATTAATAACTCATTTATACAGTGGACCCCTGCCTTACGAATGCATTGGGTTACGTTAAATCCGCCATACGAAGCATTTGAACACAATTTTGCCTCGCTTCACGATAAAAAACTCGCCTTACGTGATTCATCCGGGACGCATCCCATGAGTGGCCTCAGCACCAGTGTTTACAAGCCAGCCAGTGAGGTCACATCTACACATACATTCGGTACATTTCACATTATCCCAGTGTTTTTAGTGTTTGTAACTGCAAAATAAGTCACCATGGACCCCAAGAAAGCTTCTAGTGCCATCCCTGTGGTAAAAAGGGCAAGAATTAGGATGGAATTGAAAAAAGAGATTAAGGAAATGTGTGCAAAGTGGGTTGAACTGCAAACCTTTAAGGATGAAAATCACCCTGACACAGCTACTGCAAGCTGTGTTGGCAACCTGTACAATGACAATGTTATGGCCCATTTTAGGAAAGTTTTAAAGGAACGGAAGGTACAGAGTTCTATGGACAGATTTGTTGTGCGACAGAGGTCCAGTGACTCAAGCTGGTCCTAGTGGCATTAAAAGAAGAAGGGAAGTAACCCCAGAAGAGGACTTGCTACCTCAAGTCCTAATGGAAGGGGATTCCCCTTCTAAACAGTAACTTCCACACACTCCCCTCCTCCCATCCCATCAATCATCACCAGATCTTCAATAAAGGTAAGTGTCATGTATTCTTTTCTTAGTAGAGTAGTAATTGTGCATGTCTTCTTCAGTTTGTGTGTATTAAAATTAATATTTCATGTGGTTAAATTTTTTTTTTTTTTCATACCTTGATGTGTCAGGAACAGATTAACCCTTTCAGGGTCCGTCCCGTAGATCTACGGCTTTACGTTCAGGGTCCAAACCGTAGATCTACGCCATGAGCTCAGCTCACTCTGATAAACTGTGAGTGGTACATTTGGGCCTAGATATGAGAGAATACATCTATATGGTATGTGTGCACCACATAAAACAGATCCT